AGGAGGCTGCCCATGCAAATGATACATCCTGGTTGCTTCCTCATGAACTCTTCCATGAAATCTTGCTGCACCCATCTTGATTGCATATGCTAATCCCAGCTTCTTAATTGACTCATAACAGATTTATCTGGATTTCCAACTTCCTCTTCTCTTTAGAATGTTAATTAAAAGAAAAAAGATTACATTTAAGATATTCATGACAGTAGCAGAGTTTTCTGCTAGAGGTGTTCAGAGGCAAATTTTGGTTTTCTTTAGATGGGGCTATTTAAAATCAATGAGCTTAAGTCTATTTTGCACTAGGGACCTTTTGATACCCACATAGTAAAAAATGGCCTTAGCAGCAAGTGAAGAATTTATAAATTCTTATAATTGGATATATTTTCTACATTTTACCTCATACAGCAAAATTGAGAAAAAGCCTCCAGCTTTTAATATAAAATATATGTAATAGTCCAAAGCCAGTTTGTTTGGATGAAAGTGAGCTCAGAACTGCTCTTGTAGAATCTTGTAGATTCTCCCTGTCTTCCCCAATATCACTCACTGTGACTATTAGTACCTGCAGAAGTAGGAAAAAGAGGGCTTTGATATCCCCTGTGTGGAATACAGAGATTTCAAGTCATGTTCCTACCCTAAACAGATAGTTTTCCTTTAGTATTTTCTAAGCCAGATGCAGAGCTTGTTTATTTTTAGTCAATATTTAGGAACACTTTAAATAGTAGTTATGTTTTTTGTCATATGGACAAAATAAGGCTTAATTAAAGAAGAAGTAGAATGAAAATTGTCTCTTTTCCTTTAAAAAGAAAAAAATTAAACAAGCAAACATTGTTCCTACTGTGAAGTTGCACAGGACTTTTTTCCCCCCCATTTTTGTTGTTGTTATTGTTTTTGTTTCTTCTTAGTAAGGTATTTTGTAGTCATACCCTTGTTTGGTAACCCACCATATTGTTGTTGGTAATTTGGGGTTTTTTATATTCAGTAGATTAAATCACACTATCCTATTTGGGATCTTCCCACCATTACAGCTTTTGCCACCCATAACCTTATTTTATGATCAAAGGGGAAATAAAGGGAAAGCAGTAATGTTAATAGGCTTTCCCATGCAGTCTCTCTGGGAATGGTCTTTTTATAAGTGTCTTGAACTTGACCTCTTCAGAAGGCCCAAAGGTCCAACACACATTTTTAAAGTTGCATTTAAATTTTAATATTTTTATTCTGTGAAGCCATTTAAAACCTGGCCCTCAAAACACAAAGCATAAATCTTTCAGGACAGTCATCCAGTAAAATTGATGTGTGCGGAAGAGAAATTCCGGAAAACCCCTACAGCTCTGTTGCTTTGCTTTTCATGTTGTTTTATAGATACGTTCCCTACAACACTACCAAATAATCAAACAAAATCCAATGAATAATATTGTGATTTCATCACTCTGGCATTTGAACTTGCAAATACAATTTAGCAATGAATTAGGAGAGGAAAAGTTTTGCATTGCCCCACCCTCATAATAAAAATGTTCTTCTGAGCCAAGCATTTGAGGCATTAGAAAGATTTACAGTAATAATATAAGTAGCAATAATGAACTTGGGAACAAGGGAGTCTTGTAAGGGATTCTCAGAATGAGAGAGAGGTTTTGTAAGCAATTCTATCAACACTAAATAAATATTTAGGAAGATTGTCTTCTCTTAGCGAGTCTGTATAATAATTGTAGTGCTAATAGGAAGTATATGATTTGGATACGAGAAGATACCTATCTCTGAGTCCATTCAACTTGTTTGTGTGGGTGAATCTAGTTCTCATTAAAGGTACTGGTTTGACTGTCCTGATTACTACAGTCTTCTTTCCATGAAAATGTCAGCTTTGTCACCTGCTGTGCAAGGTTTCCAGCCATCCCAGTTCATCTGAGGGCAAGCTCTGCTATCTGTGGTCTCTTTAATTTTGGGATGGTCAACAAGGCAGCCAGGTGTGGCAGGGCAATTTGATAATATATTTGGAAAGGAAAAAAGCATGTGTTAAATGATTGAACTTGACCTGTAGGTGGGGGGGTCACACCGTTGCCCATCACTGTCATGTCAGTGTGCACTCCCCACAGAATTCATGTTTGGTTTTATTTCTGTTTGTGCAAAAGTCCTACCCCTCTATTCCTAAACTCAAGTCTCTGACCATACTAATAAACAGAAAAACCTGGGGAGTGGGGGAAGGCAAGGCATGAGGGAGTCAGGTAAGGCATGAGGGAGTTGCTACTCATCTGTCTTACCTCCCTGCTCAGTGTCCTGCTGCAAAGGGAGCAGCCAGGATGGAGTGTGACCTCTTGCTCCCAACACTCACCCTGGCTTCCCGAGTGCACGGCTGAGCTGAGGATGTGGGCACAGAGACAGGGAATCCCATTGGAATTGCTGGAAAAAAAACCTCTCATTAACTTAATGAGATTTGGAACATTACAAGGGAACTCCAGCTGGAACCAGATCTGAACCTGAGTGCGAAACATTCCTGAATACACTACCACAAACTTGTTTCAAGGAGAATATGTGCTCAGACATACAAATGGCTAGATTCTGATCTCAGTAATGCCAGCGTGAGTCTCTTGACTCATACAAACTGCACTCAGAGGACTAGCCCTGAAGACTATAAAATGAAGATGCACACATGCCACAAGAGACTGCAAAAGGAGGGTGGAGCTATCAGGATCCAGCCACACACCTTGCTGGAACACCTTAAGACAGGTAGACCTGGCAGCAGTTGGCTGAGACGAGACTTTCATCCTGCATAATCACTACTTTCCATAATTAAGTGCAGAGTCTGACTGGGTTCACACTTCGTTGTGCTGCAGTCTAGCTACACTCACATCCTCACTACCAGACTCCTTGCCCAGCTCTCTAACAAACACTCTCTGCTTTCATTTCTTTAAGATCAGTAGCTGATCTGCCATGACTGCTGGGCTTCTGGGGGAAATTGAACTGCCTTGTGAATATCAGAAAGATAGATGGAGGAGAGAAGAAACAGATTCTCCCTTCAGCATAGTGTGATACGGCAGCAGGCTGGACTCAAAATAGACAGAGGAAGTGCTGAATGACCCAAGTGATGACAGGCTTGGTGGCATTCTCCTGTGTGTATAGAAGACACTTGTTTTGTCCATATGTCTCCATATCTATATTGTAGCTGAGAAACTACTGTAGTGTTCTGGACTGATATTCAGACTGCAAGTTTAGTCTGAAGGAGAAAGCCAGTGTATTCCCATCTAGTTTATAAACTGTTGAAAAATGTCAATAGAATAAAGATCTCTACATTAACTAACCTGTATTTTTTTTCCATCTGTGGAAGTACCAAAAGCTCTTGCTTCGATCACAGTTAATGTGAGACTTCCTGGAATATGAATTGGCCCTTTAGACAGAGCTTTGACTTGACACCTATTTAAGAGTGTTTTCATTATTTTCTGATTACTTATCCAGCATTGCCAAATTTTACTTTTCTTTTATTAAGTAATTTAATACTCAGAGCTCACAGAAAACTTAACATGTCATCCATCTCTTTCAGTTTAAGTGATTAAAAACAAACTCCAGTTCTTAAAGTAAATCCTTTTTTTTTTACATTGCACATCTGAACTTGCAGTGAGACTAATACCAAACAAATAAAAACTTTCTTTTTTGAAACTTTTGAACAAGTTAAAACACATCAAAAACTCCTTTCGCAGTAATTGATACTAATTAAAATGCTGAAGCTGCATTAACAAGAAATGAAAAGGAGTATTTTGGGTCTTATCTTTTGCAACCTGAACGTTTTTCAGGCTCAGCTTTTCATGAATGCAGAAATATTATACCTTGTATTATTTCCATAAAATGCTATTGCTGTTTGGTATTTTATGGGGTGTGGTTTATAATTTTATTAACACCATCTGTTGTTTAAAAGATAATATAGAATGTTTAAAAATTACCAAAAATGCTGGTGTACACAGAATCAGGAGCAACATTTGCAGTTTGCTCTTTGCCTGGCAATTCATCTGCACATAAAGCTGATTCATATTGAAGACAGTTGAATTTAACTCCTTATGGTTGATGTAATGCTTTAAATACCTCCATTGGCTTGTGCATTAAAACTATTAATATAATGAATACATTCTGTATCTGAAACAGCCCTTGCTGAAGATCTTCTTAAAAATTCTAAAAGATAAGAAGGGAAATGAAAGGCCATATTATGAAAGGACTAAGAGCCCTGAAGATCACCTTCCACCAAAATTACAGAATTACATGGATTTGAAAGGGAAAGGTGGGCCAGCAAGATGGATTTGTTTGCATGTCTTATGGTCTGCTAGAAGTGCTTAGGCACATCCAAAGACAAAAAAAAAATTAATTATTGAATAAATCTTTTTTCCTGAAGCTGAATGGAAACACATCATCATGGTGGTTTTACGCATTTCTCTCCACCCACAGCCTGAAAGCAGAACCAGTTAAAATACAAAGGCAGGAGAGGTCATAAATGCAGGAGGTAGGAAATGCCTGAGTGAACTTGGAGAAAGATCGGTGCTACAAGACCAGGAGAGATGCCTGTGGTTGGCCGGTGTCTCAGCCAGGTGGAGAGATATTTCAGCTTTGCTTAACAGGCAAAGCATCAAGGCCTTCTCAAATCTTTGTCTATTACCTAATTGCTTAAAATAAATAGCCAGTTGCATTTAGGGAGAAAAGAGAGACAAAACTCTGTTAGATAAAGAGTTTGCCAGTCACAATAGGATTCTTCTGGATTTATGGGTCAGAGGCAATTGTTCTTTTTGCTAGAGAAAAAACAAGATAATTTCCAGCATGATCCCACAAAATAAAATTTGTAACACTTTGGCTTCCAGCTACAGATTTCCTATCTAAAGAATATGCTGGGGAGGACAAGCCCTCCTGATACTAAGGAATGGAAAATCCTTGTCAAGGAAAGGCACATCAGCCTGGTTTTGGCTGCCAATACAAATACTGTAGACTGAGAAAAACTGCATTTCAAACTAACAAGAATCCAGGTGATGTATGTTTTATTTAATTCAATATCATAACCTTATCTATAAGTAAAAATGGACTAACATTGCTATTCTAGGGGAAAAAGAAAGTGTTCTCGCTACTCTTGTGCAGAATCCATATTCATTGGTAAAAAACCCTAAGCAAACATACAAAATCTCCTGCATGGGTGTATATACTTTATCTTGGAATTAGGCTGGTTTTTATTTTAGAATAATTATTCCACTAGTCACAATGCATGGTAATTATTCCCAAATAAAGTCTTTTTTTTCATTGCAATGAAGTGTCCACAGGGAGCTATCACAGAGTAGTTATCCCGGAATTGCTATGCTGCTAAACTTTCCCCAAGTAGAAATGCCTTAAGAAATCACATCCAAAGGAAGATTGAAGAGAAAAAAAAAAAGTCTCTGCATGTCTTACAGCATCAAATGAGTGAGGGCTAAAAGTTATACATTGTAATGTAGATGCTGTAAACCACACATTTATCCCAGGAAGGTACACTGTAATAGCAGCAGAAAAGGATTTTGTGGAAACATGTAATAAGAATTTATGACTTTTCTTTTTTCTTTAAAAATTACTTTCAAATATTTCAAATTGGACTTTCATCTTTATTCAAAGCAGATGCAGTGTTTACTAAACAATTTTATGGTATTCCCTCTCTGAATATGCTGGGAAGCTGTGATTAACAGTGATGTTCAGTCTTTTGGAATACGGTAGCCATGGTGTGGTGCTGGGTCATAACTCCTTAAATGAGCTGAAATGCTCAACCTGTGGCATGTGCCTCAACAACAAATTAAACTCAAGGATGAGAATGAGGAATGTTTTATAAGCTAAACTGGTAGACCTCTTATTATATTAATACTTTACTGAAGTGCATAGCACCATCCAGCACAGTACTGCTGCTTCAGCTTGAGTGATTTATAGTATCGCTGTGGCTGTATTCATTATATTTAGGTCATATTTTCATGCTCTTTGAACTTGTAAAAAAGGTCCATAAAACCCATATATTAGGCACAAGACTCCTGGAGTTCATGTTTCTGGGCAGAAGTTTGACTATTCTGTCGCTGCATGTCAATCTCAAGGTATCTTTAACTATTGGTGACCCAGAAAGGACCATCTCCTCTGACTCCTATCATTTCTTCATGAAAGAGGTACCCTGGCAGTGTCCTGGACTGTTTCAATGTCATGCCTGGGGCACACACTGTGTGCCATGTCATTGGACTTGTCCCCAGTCCCATAGTCACTGTGGTATCCTTGTTAAAGCCACCCTAACACTTGATCCCACATGAAGGTCCCGCCAATATGCATGCTTGCTGCAGTACATGGCCACTCACAGGGTTGGAGAAGGCAGGGAGGAAGAACACAGTGCTCCAGGCTAGAGTAGAAAATGTTGAAAACCAGCTGATCAGGCACCATATCTACCATCCAAGGCCCCTTGACAAGCACCAGTGCCTGGTACACCGTAACTGGCTGGTGAGAGCTGCTACCTCTGAGCCCAGGCCCAATATTCTCAACTGCTCTGGGTGCTTATCACAGGCCAAATAATATTGCAGTGGTCTTCTAGGTAAGGAATGACTGAGCCTCCACCTGTAATTTTAGGATAGGTGGAAGAGCACCACTGTGTATTGCTTTGCTTTTTCTTTATTTTTCCTGCAGCAGGCAAGTGGCTCATGCCAGGGCAAAGGCTGGTAGGCACTGTCTTCTGGAAGGTCACCAGGTAGCTCTCCCCAGCTTGGGGAGAGCAGCTTGTCATTCGCAAACCCACTGGCCTTCCAAATCCAAGCAACTGTGCGGGGAGAGGGAGGTCTGCAAGGTCTCTGCCAAGGCTTGCCGTGACCTTAGGTGCTGCCTCAGTAGACACGGCTCCGGCAAGAGGAGAGCCATGTGCAATGCCATCTGGACCCACGCTGGCGAGGTGACCCTCCCTCCGGCACTCTGGTTGCGGACACCTGTGCCTGAGTCTGCCTCCAGAGCCCCAGTCCCTGCTCCTCTTGGATCTCACCCCAGGAACTGCTCAGGCATCTCCCTCTGTCCCTCCTCTCTGTGGACAATGCTGCTGCTGTCTGTCCACCCCAGCTAGTCCAGGGCTCAGCAGCATGCACATTTGAGATGTGGATCCCTGTGCTTCCTGTACGAGGAGATGTTTGTCCAACCTCCTGGGACCCTTGCTTGCCTCTGCAAGCAGCCCAGATGTAGACACCTCCAGGGGCTGACTTGTCCTCTCTCTCACAGCTCTTTACAGCTGTCCCAGAAAATGGGCTGAAGCAGGGGAATTTGCCTTAATGTCCCTTTGATTTCAGTCACTTTAAGAGGACACACCTGGCAAGTATGAAGAAATAATATTCTAATAAATAATCAGCATTGATAAGAATACTTGAAATAATGTAGGGATATTGCCCTCAATATACAAACACTTCTCCTAATTTCTAGTTTGGAGAAATGGGAAAAAGAAAAAAAAACCAAAAAAACTGTTGGGAGGGGTTGTTTGTTTTTGTGAGTCTTCTAGCTCTTCTTGTGTTTTCATCTTGCTCAGCAGGACTGCCAGACCTTTCTCTTCACGTTCTGATACTTCTTCTTTGTGATCTGGATGAAAACAGTAATTGCAGAAACATTTGAATTTTTTAAAAACATGTTACTGAACTTTTTTTAAAGAGTTGTCAGTAATGTTTGGACTCAAATTTGAGAGCTGGCTCATGAATCCCATGCTGGAGTGATAATATTTGTATTTTTTTGGCACCAGATACTTGTTCCTATTGCTTTCAAGTATTTTCAGGCAGGAAAATAAAATATTTGTGCTGTTTCTGATAATCAGCCTGTTCCTGCACACTTTTTTAACTGGGATATTGCGAAGGATAATCTTATTACCCTTTCAAACACCATGAGAAATGTCCCAGTTAATGCCTTTGCAATAAATGGGGCAGTCTCTCCACAAGTACATGGAGGTATCCCCGTATTGGCTTGCACATAGTTTATGGTCTTCATAGTTTTTCTTCCTTCAAACCTGGTTATTAGCACTAGAAAAATGAGCTATACTACAATTCAGGCTAATTACCATGTTTTAACACATTTTAACTAAGAGCAGTGCTGTTTAAAACCATGTCAGCAGGTTGCACACTGATGGAAAAATAATTCTCTTTTCTACTCTGTATCACTTGTATTACTCTCCTCTCAAACCCTTTTCCATTGTGTCCTATACACCTCACCTTTTTATGAGCAGCCTTCCCTCAGTCCATCACCCCTTGTGACTGTAATAGTAAGAATGTTAATTATTTAGCCATTAATTCCATTGTATTGTTTGCCCTCACCTTCAGGGTTTCTTTGTCACATCTTTCCAAATCTAAAACATTGGGGGGGGGGGAAAAAATGAATAAATGCTTTTCTTTGTTTTAAACTTGTTTTGTTTTGTTCTGCTATAGATCAGGAAGTATATAACTCCAACACCTAAAAGGTCAAGGTAGTACAGAGACCTGCAAGAGAATACCTGCTGTGGTTTTAATTTGCATGCCTGAAAGAAAGGTCTTTTCCTTCCAGCACATTCCCCGCATTTCTGTAGGAGGTTCATTTTCCAATTGCAACTTCTGTTGGGGTTCATGTCCCCGACATTCTTTTACAGAGACATGCAAAGTGATCAGCCTGACATCTCTGGGTCTCCAGTTGCATTGGGGGAGTTGTGGTTGGTGTAGATGGAATGATCTTGGCTTTATGAAGATCAATATAGTGGTTGCAACTGAGACTATATTCCTTTTTTTTTTCTTTAATTTAAACAAACTTTGTTGGTCTGAACTCTGTTTTGATCCTGAGATGAAATTGGCTAAGAAAACTCAGCCTGGCCTTTCAAAGTTGTGAACAACTGGACATAAATTGTGGCCAGGAATCCCTTGGTTCTGGACCTCACTAAGTTCATTCATTCTTGAGTGCTCCTTGGCACTTAATTAGGAAAAAACCAACAAAACAACCCAAACAAAAATTCTTAATTTAAGTCTGATGTTTTTCCAAAATAGTGTGTTGCCACATGAATCTACTGGCCCAATGAGAGTTACATGGGCTACCTAGGTTGCATAGCTGTGTGGAGACACCGCAGTCCCTATGGACTCTCAGCCACAGAGCTAAAAATGGGGTTAACCCTGGCATGGCATCTCACATACACAAGAGTATATTTGTTTTGGTGGAATGTCTGTGACCCCCTTTATTCCTTCTTATGCTTGATGTTTCACCTCCTGATACCAAGGTATGTCAGAGTATAAAAATAAGTTTCTTTTGTGAATTGGATATAAACAGGATTGATTTAAATGTGCCATTTCACTCTCACAGACCCAACATAAAATCCCTTATGGTTTGGCCTCATCAGGTTTGTTAACTTTACCTAAGACCCATGGTGCTGACCAACTGTATGATTCATAAAGAAGCATACCATCATTAACCTCAAAGAGTAGAATTTAGATGTGGCTTGAAATATAAGACAGAAATTGAATGTAATAATGAAAAGCATTTGATTTTTCCATAAAAGTAGCTGATACAAGGTCAGCAAGTGAAATATGAATATGGGTACTAATATCAGTGCTTCAGTCAGGCTTCCAATCCAAAGCTTTTGTTCAGAGGCTTGTGACTCATTTATAAATACTTACCAGGGTGGCAAAACTGCCACTGAGGATCTTGGGAGGTTTCTCTAAACAAACATATTATCATAAGAATAGGTGTTCCATCTTGAAGCTCTGTGAAATGATGTGGGATATTTCTGCTCTGAGTTGGAGTATCCTATTCATAGGACTGCAAAACAATAAATGCTGATAAAATACCATTTTGCATTTTGTTTATCTTGATTTTTCTTTAAATCAAGCTTGGATCAAAACAGTTTTCAAAGAAGAAAATAACTGGTTTTCAAATACTTAAGAATAATTTAAGCGCAATCTTACTTAAAGCCATCTATCTTGAAAATGGCCCAGTCCAGAGCTAACAAGGAGATGTCTGTACACACCACTATCAACTTTCCAGATAGCTGAGCCCTGAATTTTCAGGAAAAAAAATATATGTGTTATAATAAATCTCAGAAGCATTATTTCACTTGGAAACACATTTGAGAGAACTGCATGTCCTCAGAAATGTAGTCACATTAGTAGTAGTTCATTAAATGGTTCTAACTTTTTGAAGCGTGTTAAGTCTGCAGTGTCTATCCATGTGAGGTAAAATTGCAGACTGAAAAACTTGTAGATGTCTGATAGTACAAAGTTACTGTTGTTATAAATCAGTCTTTTCTGTGGTTAAATGATAGGGTGGAGAAGAGTGAGGGTGAAGCAAGTAACTATCTCTCCTCTCCATCTAATTTGAAGGAACATTAAAAGATGAATGAGAAAAGGGGTTTCTTAATTTTGATTTTACAGCAGCTTCACAGATCTCTGAGTTTAGCTTTTTTTTTCTTTTTTTTTCTTTTTTTTAATTTTAGTTTTCTGTTAAAATTTGCCTTCACTGAAAGAATGTGTAAGATTTCCAGAGGCAGAAGGTTTCAAGACTGAAGAAGCAGGATTTCCAAGCAGCATCAGATGCTGTTTGGGAGAAGAATCCTGGTTCTCTCTGCTCTATCTCCCATAAGTTGGTTGTTCATGTTGTAGGACACTAATGAACTCTAATAGTCCTTAATGATAAGGAAGTTCTGTTGAAACCAAAGGTATGCACCGGACAGCACCACTTCTCTCCACAGCAGGACAACAATCAGAAGTTATATGCAAATGGCCACTGGCAGATGTTTGCAAGTGATTGATGACTTTTCGCTTTTTTTTGCTTTTTTTTGCTTTTTTTATTTCCTTTTCTTATATTTGTATTCCTTATTTGGTTTTTTGGGTTTTTTTTCCCCTAGGAGTCCTTGGTGGCTTCTTAATTTAGATGACAAAATGAAAATAGAAAACGAGTCCTTAATTGTAGGGCTGCACATCCACAATCCTCACTTTTAAAGAACAGCACATGGCCAGTGTCTCTGAATATTAAAAAGATTTTATTTACGTGTCTCTTTTTGGGAAACTGTAAGAGTGTTATCTGATTTACCATGATCTGTGAAATTGCACCCAGGAATTGCCTAAACTTCTTTTTTTTTTTCTTTTTTCCTCCACGGCTGTATATTTATTATTTAACTGCTGTGAAGCATTTGGTCAACTAATAAGATCATATTTACATTTCAGCAGTGATTTGTGGCCTCAGTCAAAGATCAGAGCTAGATCACAGGCTTTTTTACAAGTTTCTTTGGTTTTGTTAAATTAATAGGAAAAGAGATTCTGACCCAGCAAGTTTACGAAGTCTACATCAGGATACAACAAGGTGCTGAGGCAGATGAATAAGCAGTAAATGTGTCAAGAGGAAAACAAGGAGGAGGAGAAAAGCACATTTTTTCCATAAGAAATAGTAATTTCCACTCTTTACCTGTTTGGTCAGTGTTTCTTCTGGGATATAGATTCCAGGACAGATTATTTGCAAGTGAATGAGTCCTCCATCCTGCAAAGACCTGCACAGGTGATTAAATCCATACATTTGCTTTAGAGGATTGAGGCTTCAGGGTTTTGCACTTTTGTAACTTCAGCCTCATGTTTGATTCTGTCTTTTGATTACCTTCTTGTCTAATGTCATAATGACAAAATGGCAATCAAGCACTTCTGCTTTTATATTTACAGTAACTTTTAGTGCTCATATGGGGACTCACACAGGAAAGCATAACTTACTTTGAACCTCCTACCCTTTCCCCATGCATGGCTTAAAATAAGTAGGCACAGTTATCAGACTCTTGTCAGGACTTGTAACTTGTCTGCAATAACAAGGTTAACCAGCAATAGCTGTCTGTGCTCTGTGGTTGCATGCCAGTAAAACACTGACAAATTGAAAACTGTAATGAGAATAAACACATTATGAATATACCAAGCACATTGACACTTTTACATTAGAAACTGCGGTCATGGTAAGTTGCCTTGTCCTAACCAACCCCTGCTGTTTGAAATAGAGCCCCATTTTAAACTTATCATGTGCTCTAAAACAGTGGTAATAAACGTGTCCCATGTGCCATAACCCTAGGTTTTCAAGACATGGTTTAAAATGATTTGCCTGCTCGGTGTATTCCTACTTCCCTCAGTAAACAAGATTGAAAGTTAATAACAAGAATGGTTTCATAAATGAAAACATAAATTGTCACAGAGCTGAATAGACTTATAATTTATAGGCAATCAGAATTTTCAAGCAATAATTGTTCTATTATTTTTGTTTGGGCTTCTTTTAGAATTTTCTTTTCCCCCTGCAGATATGATTTGGCACTTGTAGATTAATAAAAGATTCACTGAAAATAATTTTTCAGCACTGAATTTTCTTAAAATGTGCTTGGTGATGTTCTGTATATCGCACAGAAGATTTGATGAACAGAAAAGTGTGACTTCCTGGTTTGGTATATGGCACGTATACAGGTGTTAAGGATGCAAGGGATGTGTTACCACATCAGGACTGAGAGCTGTAGGCCTGAATTAGGCTCTTTGCATTTAAGAGTGGAGCGGACGGGGTGGTTTGGCTCCCCTCGGCCGTGCGCATTGTTCGGGAGCGGTGGGCAGCCCTGGCACGGGCAGCACATCTCTCAGCAAGCAGGTGTGTCACAGTCAGGAGCGAGCTACATTGGCAGCGCTGCGCGGGGAAGTTTGTGCCGTGGTTGCCAGTGCTGGCTGGAGCAGTCATTATCTCTCTGCTTTATGTGAGCCTTCTCAATGACTCTTTAATTTTACCCTGCTTCCTGCCCCTCTAACAGGTGAGGTTTGGCCAGTAGGGGACATGTGATGCAGGAGAGGAATGGCAGAATAAGAAGGAAACTTCGGACCCTGGAGTAATTCAGGTCACCCAGGGTGACGGTGCCAGTGGCTGGAAAAGGAAGGAAGTGCTTTTGAGCCTCCAAAGCCGTTTGTGTTGTGGAGGATCTGCTCCCCAGCTGAGCCTTGGCATCCAAGCAGGACCTGACAGGCTGCCTTGTGGGTGTCCTAGGCAGCCCAAGAACTACGGTAGTCTTTGTTGTCACTCAGATTTGGGGAGCAGGATGTCAAAAAGGCAAAGGAAGGAGGTGGGGCTGTAGACCTATTATCCCTCTTTATCAGCCAGTGGAGCTGGGCCAGTACCTGAGGGAACAGCGTGGCGTGTGATTGCTCACCTCCCATGAAGAGAGGGTGCATGCCTTGAGACTGTAGCTGGGTGGTTTTACTATCCTGCCAAAAATTCAGAAATTTCCCTCTTTGTATCAGGATGAAACAAGTGTTCTAAGGCAACTCTGGAGAAGCCAGTAACGTATAGGCTGTTAGGACACTCACATGGAAGATAAAGACCCATGCTTCAAGCCCTGATTTTGCTTCATTCTAATCAAACATCTGAACCTGCCAAAGGCCATATACAAAACATGCCCCCTTTTCACCATCCTAGCATTTTTTCAAGGGTGGGATTTTCTCCACCTCTCTGCACAAATATCACCTCCACCTTGAGTGAATTTAAATTAAGTGCAATTCAGACAGAGGCCAAGCAGAAGAGGTGAGATACAGCAGCCTGGGTTAAGACAGCCTAAAGCTGCAGGCTTCAGCATCATGCAGAGTTTTGCCATTGCCTCACTCCAATAAAGTTCCCTCTTGGAGAAGGACAGTAGTCAGCAGAGGGAAAAGGAGTCCATCATTCCACAACTCAATCCCATCTTTGTCTTGGTGGCAGGAGCGGAAGGTCCCTAACACTGAGGAGAGGATGTGTATTTCCAAGACTGAATGGAAAAGGCCACCTGTCTATGTAAATATTTTCTGAGGACTGCAATCACGTTCTCTAACTTCAGCACCCTGAATTAACTGATGCAGGTGCCTACATCTTCCTGGGGGTTACACAGAGAAATTAGGCTCTTGGATCAGTTTCCTGAAGGCAGGAGATACCCTCCTGTTGCCTGCCTGGCCTGCAGCAGAAGGGCACTGCTCTCCTATAACATCTGTGTTACATCTGTCAACCTTGGGCTGATATCTTTGCTGTCCTAACTTATTCCATAAACTTGATGCCTAATTTGGAAGAAAGCAATTAAATCCTGGGTTCCTACTTTTAATTACCTTGAATATCAGCTGGTCTAGGTGTCTAAAGTAAAGCATGTCTGTATATGACAATCTCCTCCTTCACTTGGGTCTGTGCAGATCAGCTGGAAGCCCTAATCTTGAAGTCCTGGCACCCTTGAGAAGAACACAAACTTGGTTTGGAAAACTCACACAGGTACTCCCATCCACACTGGGCTCTGGCAGAGGTCAGATGGCAGGACTTATACCATGTTTCCATTCAACCTCTTCTTACTCTCCTGTTCATTTTCTCATCTCTCCCTGATGACTGATGACTAGACTCATCTGCGATTCTAGGCAAAAGCTTACATTAATGCAATTTCTTAGATTACCTTCATATTTGGCTTCTTCAGTAGAAATATTCTATTTGCGTTTATCCCCAATCAACAGACTTAAATGCTTTTCATTTTTGTAATTTACAGATTCAGATGGCATTGAACTGGCTCTTGGAAAATACTAAATGAAGTAGATAAAAGTGTTGAAGCAACAGTATTCATTTACTCATTTTTCCATCCTAAGGTGTTAACTACAGAAATGATGCGCTGGAATAATTTTATTTTGAGTGAGCTGAGGTTTGAGCTTTTACCCCAGGAACAACATTCCTGAGAAGACTAAATTGTTTTAACTACCAGTTCTGTCAGGTCATCTGCCATATTGATGTGTTTGGCACACATCTAATCTTTGTTGCTGCTAAAGAAAGCCTTTCCAGTGAATCTCTGCTTTTCTACAGTGCTACCTTTGGCTACTCTTAGTAGCCAAGCTAAAGGGTAAACCTGTGCTGCAGACACTAGCATCGCATGGAGCTGTGCAATAATGCAGAGCTTCATGGAGGTTAATCTACTCTGCCAAATGGACTTTGGCTGAACTAGCCAATAGCCACCGTCTCCTATTCAATTTTATATGATTTAGTCCAAAACCAACTGTCAGTCACAGTAGGGGCTGTGTTACTAAACTATCAGTGCACTGTCAAGGAAAAAATGCTTCAGGTGCATGGCAAAGTGGTACCCACTCAGTGCTTTGCTATAATTACATGTAACTAACGAGGGAAAAGCTGCTGTAAATCTTTTTCATCCAGTCTTTTGCTGTTCACTTGTCTTTCTCCAAACAATGGTCACAAAAGGCCAGGAAGCTGGATAAAAATAACAAGTATTAAAATTCAACATTTAGAAGAAATAAACACCAGTAAACTGAAGACTGACCCTTTCAAATTTCCCCTCTAACTGATGTTTTCTTCCCAACATTTAGGATTATATTAGCATTTTGAAAAGATTTTTGATAAATATGGATGTGGGAAAGAAATAATGCAAAGGTATCTACCACATATAGCTTAGTAAAACCATGTGTGTATTCATGTCAGAAGGAGAAATATATTACCTGGCACCAAGGCAAAGAGCTTGAAGAAGATATGAGTGCTCTAATCTGAGTTCAAATTTTTTTTGATTTAAATATTGTTTTGTTCATGTTAGATTAGGTCTTAGAAGTTACGGCTGAGAACAAGACCCTAATGAATATGCAATGAATAAAATGACACTTTAAAGGAAAAAAAAATTATTAGAGCTCAGCAATAAATGATTTTGAAATGGCACTGACATTCAGAAGTCATATTTCTATTCCAGAAAAGGCTGAAATGTCATAATCTGAAACATCTGAAACATAACTATACTGCATTTTAGATAAGACCTTCTCTGCTACTCTTGTACACAAAGCTGTGGCAAGCTTATAAAATTTCATGCAATATAGAAGGGTTCAGTAAATATATGTTTCTTTTGTTTTGTGAGATACAGAGAATTTTTCATTCTTCTCCTAAAATTTCTCTAGGAAATAATGGAGACTTTCCCACCACTATTTTTTTGTAGCCAAACAAGTCCCAGGTACCTACTGTGTGGGAGGAGAGAATCTAAAATGTAAACATGTTAATACTACACCATGCCATCTGGTAGTGATGAAGCTGAAAGAAAGAGATGGTTGGAATGATGCTGATGAAAGGTTACTTCAACTCAAGCAGAGGAGAGAAAGTTGTTCAAGTAAGTGAGTGAAATAGAGAAGCAGATGAGAAAATTATGCTGAAGCCTCCTAAGCTGCAGGAATCAAAATTATATTTCCTTGAATAAGTGTTTTGTAACTGTGCTTTCTAGTCCAGGAAACTAAGCAGACTGAAAACAGAAATTTGTAGCATTCAGGTAAAGGGCCAAAACCCCTTTTTGAGACTTCAGTTTCAATCAGGCCACTTAGAATGATCTTTTTCTGATCATGTTTTCTTTCACAGACAATTCTTTAAGTGTTCTAGATAAACAACATAATTTTCACATGTATTTTGTGAAAGTAACAGAATTACAATACAGTGCAAGTTACAAAAATAATTTAGGAACAAAAGTGTCACTGCCATAGTGACATAGTGCATAGTGCATAGAAGGACCTGTGCCATCTCTTCTCTTTTGCATGACTTTGAGCACTGGTTTTAAAAGATATCCCTGCCAACCATTTAGGCATACATTGATTATTAGGCAATCTGCTTATTCTCATGCTTGCTGCTTCACTTGTATGAAATGCATACTTTTCCATTTCTATTATTTAGCATTTTTTCATCAATCTTTTTTAACTAGGCAGAGACAGCTTTAGCAAGCAGCAGTTATATGTAAGTGGGATAAATTTATCTTTCAAAGCTTACTCTTGGTCTTGCATGTTTTCTTGTTATAAAGGTTAGATCTCACTTTCTTTCTCTTTTCAAAATACTCAGTATTGCATTTTTAGATATCCTGCCATTATAGCTTTAACTTTAGAGTGTAAATTTTTACTTTTCACTCAAAATTCAATTCATTTGTTGTCCGTGGACTTGAAATCATCTTCATAATGCTTAGTCCCTTCTGGCTTAAAAATAAAAAATAAAAAATCTATGAATTGATGAAAGGATGATGCTCTGCTTTATAATGTTTTAAATACTGTAATAAACAATACTGTTTTTCTGATAATGCAATTCATCATTTCTGTCTTATTTATTTTAAATAAAATAAGCATTAAAATTGGTCTCCAAGAGCTCTGCTAGAGTTATACTTCTTTGTAGACTTCTGAAGGATTATTTTTACTTGGATAGTTTCAGGGATCTGGTTTATTTCACAGCCCAACTTCTAGTTATGTCAGCATGACCAGGGGGAGGCAAACTGTGAAATGAGGAGTGGGAAGGAGGAAATAGAAAGTTTCTTCCCTGCCAACTCCTCTGTATCATTTAATGACAACTTGCATCACTCCCTAATTTCTTCTGCACCTGAACCCTTTAACTCCAAAACAAGGGTTACTTTCCATAAAATGACCAGCTGAATTAACTAGGCAGGGCAGGTTAGAGCTTTCTGCAGCAAGGATGCAGTCTCTAGCACAAGCATTAAGTGTTTCTTCCCAAGCCTCCCCACACAGCCACAAGGTCAGATAAAGTTTGCCTGTGGTTATTGGAAACAAATCACAAGATAGCTGTGTCATCACACTTTAACTAATATTTTCTATATAACTTTTACCCATAAGAACAAGGAGGAAAGAGAAGCCTTCGGTTTTGTGTTGTTTTGCAATGTGGTTCTCAGAAAAGAGAGTTTAATCTCAGTTGTCAGGTATTGGTCATCAGGACTAATTTTGATATGGCCTCAGAGTTTCCATCTCTGAAAAATACTGATTTAATCACTGTTTTACCTTCACAAACATTTGGGGGAAAAATTGTACAGTAAAACCCCTAGGAGTGGCCTAACCAATGACATATACAGCAACACTGATAAGGATCACAGAAGCCACCTCTGGCACAGATGAAAATGTCTGCTTGTGGCTCATACTTTTTGCACACAGTGGACACAAAGAGATGGCTGTTACACTGCCTTTTTTCCCCAGATTTTTTTTTAAATTGTATACATTTTCTTAAATTGTATACATACAAGTATATGTACTCTTACTGCAACTGTTTATGAGAAGCAAAGGAGAAAAACAACTTTTCAGAAAGAAAGAGCACCAAATCTACGTTTTGTGGAAGAAACTACAAACTTGTGGGCATTTAAAGAATCTGTAGGACAGCTTTAAATGAAGGAGAAACTTAAATTTAATCAACGGCTGATGGCACTTGAAACTTCTTGCAGCAGCTAGGGAATCACACAAAAATGGTGCTGCCTTTGTGTTTCTCAGTGAAAAGAACATGTAAATATGGACATAGTTCTTTACTTTTAAAATGAGGACTACAAATGACTTTTAACAAGTAGTTCCTCAAAAATATAAAAAATTCAGGTATTGTTTTTTTATTTGCTGCAAGTATTTCTGAGCCTACACTTTTTCAGCCTCTTTAAATCAATGGAGAAGCTAACAAAAGCTTGTTTTTTTGAAAGAAGAAGGATTTCTTCATGTTGTACAACTACCACGCTTTTCATTTAAAATCAAATAGCTGTGAATATTACTTTACTATTACCTCCTTTTTGTTTGACTCCTTCCTTATGTAAATGTTGGTAATTAAATGTTGCAAAGGTATTACTGTCCACTGCAATGCTGAGAAATGCTGGTCTACATTACCTAATCATTTTCCAAACCAAGTGGTTGTGATTCACCTCAAAAATTATTCAAAGAGTTTTCCCACAACGCCTTTCACAAGCTAGCAGCATTATCCTGATAGCAGCAAAACCAGCTAGATCTGTCCTGGCTCCTATTGTTATGGCAAACACATATGATATATATAGATACACAGTCTGATATTTCCAGCATAGTGTGAAATAAGTGGGACAACTGGATCCACGTTCTCCTGGCAGGTGAAGTACATCGTGCTAAATGGTCTTCATTGACTAACAACTGACAACACAGGGATGTGGGCATGGGGGATATCATGGAGAATATTATTCACTTCCTACATGCCCAAAAGACAGTAGAAAAGACATGCTAAGAACCTTAGTTTCACAGAGCAGGCTTTTGGGAATGTGCAAGTTTAACACCATCAAACACATGTCCAGCCCAAGTAACATAGGAGATAGGTAGACATGAGGATACAGATGCAGTCTGGCTGTGGTAAGACCAGGCTGTGACTGAGCTGTTACTGACAGTGCATCACTTCTCTTCCTCAAAAAACTGACAAGCTCTTCTCTGATGCATGCTGTTGCAAGCATCTTTTTTATTCCTTGCAGACTAAAATTATGCCGTGTGTCTTTTCCAGTGATTACAGTCCTCCAGCAACTATAACTGAAATATGATCCTGAACAAATATGTGTAAAACAATGATTTTACACTGTGATTATATAAAATATGCTATATTAAAGTTACAGTACTAATGACAGTCCTGGTTTTCATTGCCCTTTTTCATTCTAGCATGTCTGAAACTACAGCTTGATCCTTAGACTTCTGAGGTCTGTGAGGGTCTTCCCTTGGCATCAGAAAGCTTTGGACCAGATGTGTCAGTTCATCAAGAGAAAGAGCCTATCCTTTGAATTTATCAGTGCTCAGTAAACAAGGTGAGTTTGCTGGGTCAGGGACAGAAGGGTCATGTGAGTTCATAACTGTTCTCAACTACGCAGTGGAGACCTTGCTCAAATGGTAGTTCTATGAATACGACAAAATAGTAAGTGAAATTCAAACTCTGAAACTATGCAATTAATTTCTGTTCTGGAGAACTAAGAGACTCCAAAAAGAATGAGTTCTCAAGTACTGAGGTGACCAACATTTCTAAAATACACTAGCATGCAAGCTTTTGCTGAGTAAACTATAAACTCCCACGCTATTGCAGAATGACTGTCAGTTCCTGCCTCATAACATCTGAACACCATTTTTTTTCAAAGAGTTAATCAAAGTACACCACCAAGAATAAGTAATTCCAAGAAGTACCATCAACGAACTCACTTGAACCCAGCCGAGCTGCTGCCCTACAACTTCAAATGAATGCAACACTTATGCCAAGCACTCTTCCCATTCCTCTCTGTCTGCCACATTGCTCTGGAACAACTGTCACAGGTATAGAAAAGTCTAGAAAAAGATTGACACCAAAAATGTAGTATTCCTTTCTCAATGTGCTAATCTTGTTTTTGCTTTTACTAACAGTGGTTGGCATACAATTTGGCAGTTTTGTGTTCCTGGCTTGATTTTAGATCACCTATGGCTAAGGGCCATGGATAGTACAATGAAATAGTAGTTTTGGTTTGTTTATTTATAACATCTCCTTTTTTTTCTGGACTTCTTAATTAAATGAAAATCTCTCTGCCCACAGACAAGCTGTAGTAACTTTCAATGGGAAAGTAACTTTCTGTCAGTAGTTTTTTGCATTTTTTCTTTTAAAAAACCCCATGTTATGAAAAAAGCTGCAAACCCCACAGTTGCTTGCAAGAAAAAGAAATTGCAATTGATTCCTACAACAAAGGAAAAATACTTTGATATTTGCACTATTCACAAGGAGTTCTGTGAAACAACAGCACATCCTGTGAAGCACACCCCAACACTGTCAAAGCTTTTTATAGTAAAATAGACTAAGGGTGAAGGATTCATGTAAGGGGACAAGAATATAACTCATACATTAATCAGTGATTGTGAATCAAAATTATTCTGGGTAATTAAGTAACTCTGAAGGTGTTTAAGTACACTAAAATAAAAAAAGCTAAGACAGTATAAAATACCTTTGGCCTAAAGAAATTATAGATTACAAAAATTTACCCTTGAATTCAGCCCAACTACTGCTTAAGGTAAAGTACTGTGTAAACCTACAAAGCCAGCTACCACAGGCTCTCAGTTTGTTGAATGTTTTAATTAAGGGGATTCTGTCAGTATTTCTCACTATTAGGAGAATATTGTATACAAAACAACTAGAGATGGGTGAACTCATTTTACCTCATTACAAGCCCATTCAAAGACCACTTCTAATCATGAAATATTATTAGCTTCTTGTTCTTTTCAGAAGATGATGACATAGAATAATACCTAATGATAAAATAAGGGAAGTAAAGAGAAGAAAGCAGCATGGGAAAAGAAATAACACCGTGTGAAGAATGAATTTGATAATATGGACAGAAGATAGGAAATACTAGTAATAGTTAATACTAGTGAAGGAATACTAGTAATACCTTCCATTCACGATCCAAAGAAACATCTGGCAGATTAGGTAGCTGTGTGAGGCTTTTTAACCATAACCTATCTGCTAAGTTATGGTACAGCTCCAATTCCTATGTGAGGGGGAAAAAAAAGGGTTTAAGTTACATCAAAGAAATGTCTGCAAAGTCAAGCTAGCTCTTTCAAAACCTGTGGTCCACAAGAATAATTTCAGATGTTCACAGACACTGAGTTTGCTCAAGACTAATGATAATCCCTTGTGAAATGCAAACTGAAATTTGTTTGCCTACCAAAATAAGGCCTTTTTCCTATTCCCCTTTCCATTCACAGATGCTGGCATGTGTTGGCTTGTTATTGTAGTTTATGAATGTTGGCCTTTATTTCTGCAAAATAAATGTTATCAACTTCATTTGTCAAAATGTAAAATTATATGTAAAGCTGACAGACTTGGAAAAAGTAATAGAAATTAAAAGGAGATAAACATAGCTTTAGGAATATGTGTTCTCTTGAACAGTTCTTTTTTTTCTGAAGGGCTACATAATTATACCAGGCCATATGTGTGTCTTTTTTTTTTCTTTAATAAATATTCCTGAAACTGGACAAGTGCTAATAGCACCGCTCAGAAGAATGACATCTATCATCCAGAAAGTTCTCATTATAGCTTACTTTATCAGTTCAATGATGAAAAAAAATTAGCCATAAATCAGCATCTCTAACTAATGTTTTAGCTGAACTTAAAATAATATTCTAAAGTCTGACCATAAAAATGTGGGATTAGGCTACACAGCCTAACAAGACATCACTTCTCCTTTACCTGGAGATCTAC